CAGAAAGAAGATTAGTGGCTGTCAGGGGCTGGAAGGAGGGAATGGGGAGTGACCATTTAATAGGTTCAGAGTTTGTTTTGGGTGAGGGGGATGAAAATTTTCTAAACTGAGAGAGTGGTAATGGTTGCACAACTCTGTGAATATACTAAAAACCACTGAAATGCACACTTTAAAAGGGTATGTGTGTGTGTGGTTGTTTCCCCGCCACCCCCCCCCCCCACCCTTGTTGCCCAGGCTGGAGTGCAACAGTGTGATCTCAGCTCACTGCAGCCTCTGCTTCCCGGGTTCAAGTGATTTTCCTGCCTCAGTCTCTTGAGTAACTGGGAACACAGGCGCCCGCCACCACGCAAGGCTAATTTTTGTATATTTAGTGGAGACAAGGTTTTGCCACGTTGGCTAGGCTGGTCTCGAACTCCTGACCTCAAGTGATCCACCCACCTCGGTCTCCTAAAGTGCTGGGATTACAGGTGTGAGCCACCGCACCTGGCCAAAATGGTGTGTTTTATGGTATGTGAATTATAACTCAATAAAGCTGTTATTAAAAAACATTATGTTGGCCGGGCGCAATGGCTCAAGCCTGTAATCCCAGCACTTTGGGAGGCCGAGACGGGCGGATCACGAGGTCACGAGATCGAGACCATCCTGGCTAACTTGGTGAAACCCCGTCTCTACTAAAAAATACAAAAAACTAGCCGGGCGAGGTGGCGGGCGCCTGTAGTCCCAGCTACTCGGGAGGCTGAGGCAGGAGAATGACATAAACCCGGGAGGCAGAGCTTGCAGTGAGCTGAGATCCGGTCACTGCACTCCAGCCCAGGCAACAGAGCGAGACTCCGTCTCAAAAAAAAAACAAAAACAAAAACATTATGTTGACTTCAGGTAACTCTGGCTCCAAGTACATCACACTACTCATGATTTTGAATAATATACTAAAGACTTGGCCTCAGAGACCTTTATTCAGTCTAGAACGCCCTAGGCCTCTTGCCCTTCCCTTCTCTACTCTTCCTCTGCCAAAATCCAACTTTTATTTTTAAAAATAGTCTATTCATCCTTTAAAACTAAGTGAAATATTTGTTCTCTTCCTGTGAAGCTTTTGACATCCCTATTCCCCTAGGCAGAAGTAACTGCTCTCTCAGCACTTAATATACAAATGACTAAAACATTTTTTATTGCATTACAGCTCACTATTTACATGTCAGTTTCTCACACTAGACTATGAGCCCATGAGGGTCAGCGTCTCATTAACTTCTGTATTCAGTTACTAGCACAGTGCTTAGTATCAGATTTTCAAAAGATGTTCAGTACATTTTTAAACACATATTTTATAAACAAGATATATAATGGTAATGTCACATAATTATCTAGTTGAATCGTTTGCAATTCCAATGTTGATTGATGGAAACGGTTAACCCAAAATGAGAATTAACTTAGCATTTTGATCGTGTTGCTAAAATAAATAAGTGGAGGCCTTTCTAAATAGAATGCAGAATTCTGTGTTTTTATTACTGACCACCTGTAAACGCATTGGGAATCAAGTATGTAAATCAAAACACTTTTACACAGATATATGTAAAGGTATATTTACATATATATATATAATATATATTTATATATTTTGCTTACACACACATTTTTCCAAGTAATATAAAATGATGTAGTTATAACAATTTTTGTTGCTATGAGGTCCTCTACTAAGTACTGTATTTCAAACCTTATCTTAAAACACAGTCCTATTCAGAGTTAAGAAAAATGATCATTTTTGAAGACAGGGGTTATAAACTCAAATACCTATTAAGGGTCACCTACTAAAGGGCATTATCTAAATAAAGAATATAACCTAAAGAGTATCTCTGGGCAAGAAAGTAACAACAGTGTTTGTCTCCAGGAAAGAACTGAGGAGCTAAGGGGACAGTTATAGAAGGAAGATTCCCTTTTCACAGAATTTTTTTTTTTTTTTTCCTGAGATGGAGTCTCACTCTGTTGCCCAGGCTGGAATTCAATGACGTGATTTCAGCTCACTGCAACATATGCCTCCCAGGTTCAAGTAATTCTCCTGCCTCATCCCTGAGGAGCTGGGACCACAGGCTCATGCTGCCATGCCGGGCTAGTTTTTTGTATTTTTAGTAGAGATGGGGTTTCACTGTGTTGCCCAGGCTGGTCTCAAACTCCTGAGCTCAGGCACTCTGCCCGCCTTGGCCTCCCAAAGTGCTAGGATTAGAGATATGGGCCACTGTGTCCAGCCCAGAATATTTTGCAATACCTTTAAATTTTATATCAAGTGCGTGATCTATAAAGTTTGCTTCTTGGCTCTAGCTAACCATCACTATTAAGAGATGCATGTCTGGAGTTCCCAGATCTGATTTTCCAAAGTTAGAAATGGGAAATTCAGACCCTCTTGTGATTTTTCTTTTTTTTCTTTTTTTTTTGAGACGGAGTCTTGCTCTGTCACCCAGGCTGGAGTGCAGTGGTGCAATCTTGGCTCACTGCAACCTTTGCTTCCCGGGTTCAAGTCATTCTCCCACCTCAGCCTCCCGAGTAACTGGGATTACAGGCATGTGCCACCATGCCCAGCTAATTTTTGCATTTTTAGTAGAGACGGGGTTTCACCATGTTGGCCAGGCTGGTCTTGAACTCCTGACCTCAGGTGATCTGCCCGCCTCAGCCTCCCAAAGTGCTAGGATTATAGCTGTGAGCCACCACACCTAGCCTAAAACTTGTGATTTTTAAATGATGGCTTTATTCAAAATTTAACATATAGGGCAGGCCAAAAAATACATACCTGCAAGCCATATCTGGCTCATAGGCCAACCAGTTTACCATCTCTAATCTAAAATTTGATGTGACATATGACTCCAAAGCTAAAGATATAATTTAGTAGAGGAAAATTCAAAAAGAAAACTCAGGCTCATGGATGAAACCACGCTCCCTTCTGCTCCACCATCTATTTAGTCACTATTGCTTTCAAACTTTCTCTAAGTCTTTGAAAAAGCCATTAAGGTTTGACAAACTAAAATGTAAGATAAATCAGGTTAAATCTACAAACCTGCCCACTATTCTAGCATCTGCTCTGTTTTAGAGGGAAAAAGTGGGTCAATTTCAAGTTGAAATTGTTCTAGCTAACTAAACAAATATGTAAATTACTTTTAGCTGGGTGGCACAACTCCCTTAGCCATCTCATCAAATGACTGCATGTTTGCAAACATCTATGTTACCTCTTCCATACCATCAGGCAGTACAGCACTGCTTAAAAGATAATAAGGCAGACAATAAACACAATGTTCTGAACCCTGCCTGGGAACCCAATTACAATTCAGGGGGAAAATACCTTAAAGTCTCTCAAAGAGCGGCAGAGATGCCGTTCATCTCCTGAAACTTGAAATAGACTCTCTGTGGCTCTAACTATTGGCCATAAGTGGAAGACTGCATCTGTTTAATGCCCAGGGGACACTAAAACAGTTTAAAGAAGGACTGCCTTCAGTTGTAAGTCCAGCACTAGAGATGTACTATCTTGCCTCCCTGGTGTACCTGAAAATCTCACAATCTGCTCAAAGCTCCAAAAGATCTGACTTTGGTATTTCCACATGGTCTTCCTATACTCAGCACTAGCTCCACCTCTCCAAACAGCAGCTCTTTCACCACTGGCTAGTCCAGTATTGGGCCTGGCCATCTATTCATTGACAACTTGGGGCCTCCCTGAATGGTAAGGATATGCAACCTATGGAGGAGTTTATAGATTTTTGCACCCATGCAATCATTTGACAAGATGGCTGGGGGAGTTTTGCTACCTCGCTAGAAATAATTTATATATTTCTCTTTAGTTGGTGGGAAGAATTGTGACTTGAAAAGGACTAATGGCAAGTGCAATACCCCTGCAGGACACAGGAAGTCAAGGTTTTCCTTATGTAGTTTGTGGAAACACTCTATAAGCTACATTTCTCCTCATAGTTTCTTTACCCAGGTAACTAAGGGGAAAAGATATTGATTTAATCTCACTCATCAATTCTAAGGAACTGCACATTTTGCCAAGTGATCCAAATAGCTCTACCACCATACACAGCAACCCCTTTTCTAAGAACAGTGAGCATTTGGAAAAAACAAATTTTTTTTTTTTTTTTGAGACAGAGTCTCACACTGTCACCCGGACTGGAATGCTATGGCACAATCTCGGCTCATCACAACATCTGCCTCCAGGATTCAAGCAATTCTCCTGCCTCAGCCTCCCAAGTAGCTGGGATTATAGGCGCCTGCCACCACACCCACCTAATTTTCTTATTTTAGTGGAAACAGGGTTTCACACCATGTTGGCCAGGCTGGTCTCAAACTCCTGACCTTGTGACCCACCACCTTGACTTCTCAAAGTGCTTGGATTACAGGTGTGAGCCACCTCGCCTGGCCAATAATTTATTTCTTACACTCAGTCTTAAAAAAAAAAAAATGATGCAATGACCCAGGAAATTAAGATCTGCAAAATATTCTAGCTGAGAAACAAAGCATGGCCCTCTCGGGTTGTGTCTGGGGAAGCCATTTCATGGTGCGGTTCAGGGTCTATGAAGACTGATCAAAATCATGAACAAGCCAGGCATGTTCTTTCTGATCAGAACATGGCCAGAGTCCAATACCTTCTTTCTAAAGAACATAGCTGGAGTCCAATGTCTTCACCAACTTACATTTTGATATATGGACATTAAAGCCAAATCTCTCCAATGGCCATACACATGCAGATCTTCAGTAAGGACAAGAGATGCCTGGAAATCTACAACCTATACTTCCTTTATCACAGTGATGTTGTGTATTAGGCACCTACTGGACAGCAACCTACACACATCAGTATCCAGCACTTGCTGAAGGTTATTTGTTCTCTGGTAACTAGCAGACTTATTTAGTGATATTTGCTCTAAGTTACAAAAATTAAAATTAATTGCTGTCTTCCTTTTCCATATGGTGAATATCAAATAGTTTTAAGCATGTCAGTCTTCACTATAGAAAGCTTGTTTTGTTCCTACCTCGGCAGCTTGGGTTTCTTGATGCAGCAATGTAAGACCAGTCAAGTCTTCCAAGAAGGAATGTGAAGAATTAAACACCTTGGCTAGGAAGTTAAATCCTTCTCGTTCATATTGATCAAGAACCTGTAAAACATTTACATTTTTTAAAAAGGAGGCTCCAGACTTAAAATGCAAATTAAAAGACTTTCACTTCTAACGAGTTCTTGTCAAAAATAAAATTAAAATGAGAATTAAATATGGGGATAAAATGCAATCTAGTGGCCAAAAAACTAAAAGTGGCTTAGTATTTATCATCTTTTCCCTTCTTAGAATGACAATAACATTATCTTCCAGTTTGCATATCAATGTTTTCTCAATAAAGTAAGTTTCATGCAAATTCACTAAAAATTCTAGAAGAGTTAGGATTAGTTAGTGGCCCTAAAGTTCGCTGGTTAGAAAACAGGTGAAAGAAAAGCCAAGAAAATAAATTTAAAAGGATAAATGGGAAGGGAGGGGCAAAAGGATTTTCTCAAAAAAATGTGACATACCAGCTAGCCGAATATACTTTTTAAAAATAATTTTAAAACGGAAAAATAGGCCGGGCGCGGTGGCTCAAGCCTGTAATCCCAGCACTTTGGGAGGCCGAGATGGGTGGATCACGAGGTCAGGAGATCGAGACCATCCTGGCTAACACGGTGAAACCCCATCTCTACTAAAAATACAAAAAAATTAGCCGGGCGTGGTGGCAGGCGCCTGTAGTCCCTGCTACTCAGGAGGCTGAGGCAGGAGAATGGCGTGAACCCAGGAGGCGGAGCTTGCAGTGAGCCGAGATAGTGCCACTGCACTCCAGCCTGGGCGACAGAGCAAGACTCCGCCTCAAAAAAAAAAAAAAAAAAAAAAAAAAAGGAAAAATAAATTTCAATAGGTACTTCACAAAAGAGGATATCCAAAGAGCCAATAAACATGAAAATGGGCTCAATAGCATGAGTATTTAGAGATATGAACACTGAAACCACAATGAAACACTACTTTGCACCTATCAAAAAGATTAAAATGACAAAGAAAATACCAAGTGCTGGCAAGGATGTGGAACAACCAGGACTCTATGTCCTATGATGCAGCAATTCTACTCTATGTGTATACACACCCAACAAAAATGTGTACATATGTGCACCGGAAGACACAAACAAAAGTGTCCATAGCAGCGCTATTCATGATAGCCCAAAACTAGAAACCACTGAGGTGACCATCAACAGTAGAATGAACAGATGGATTGTGGTATAGTCATGCAATGGAATACTATATATCAGTGAGAACAAACTACCTTCAAACATAATGTTACACGAAAGGAAGGAGTAGCAGTATGTACTGTATAATTACATTTATATAAAATTAAAATGAAATAGGCAATATGAATGTGTGGTGTTAGAAGAAAAGATAGTGGCCACCCACAGAGAGACTGTAAGGGGCACAAGGGACATTCCAAGGTGCTGGTAATAACTTGTTTATTTATCTAAGCGTTGGTTACATAAGGTGTATTTTTTGAGAATTCATTAAGTTGAACATAAGATTTGTGTGTTTTTTTTGGATATATGTTATCCTTCAATAAAAAGTTAAAAAATAAAAGGCCTGTACACTTGAGAGGAGAACAGTAAAGAGTTCTTAGAAACAAACAATGAGTATCACATTTAGGAATTCAGTGATCACAGGGGCTGTGAAATGTAGAACGCTGAACCAGAATGCCTCAGAAATTCTCTCAGAACTCACAAGAAATAAAGAGATGAATGCTTTAAAAAGATAGCAGACATTGAAGACATACCTAAGAAATCAACAATGCATAAACAGACTGGAACAGTAATAATACAAGAAATAAAATTTCTCTTTTTAGAAGATGAAAATGTAGGCACCCTTTAATCCAGCAATTCCACTTTTAAGACTTCATACTGATAAAGTTGTACATGGGCACAAAGACTTCCATTGTAAGGAAGCTTACTGAAACACTGTTTGGGCCAGGCACGATGGCTCACACACATGTAATCCTAGCACTTTGGGTGCCCAAGGCAGGAGGACTGCTTGAGCTTAGGAGTTCAGGACCAACCTGGGCAACATAGTGAGACCTCAACTCCACAAAAAATTTAAAAATTAGCCAGGTATGGTGGAGTGCACCTGCAATCCCAGCCACTTGGGAAGCTAAAGTGGAAGGATCACCTGAACCCAGGAGGTTGAGGCTGAAATGAGTTATGATCACGCCACTGCACTCCAGCCTGGGTGACAGAGTCTCAAAAAAAAAAAAATAATAATAATAATACATATTTTGTATCTATTAAAGGAACGAGGCAGGTCTTATAATACTGACACAAATTGTTTTCCAAAACATAGCAATATATTTAAAAAGCAGTATCTAGACTGTGTATAGATAGTATTTGTGTTCAAAAAGAGTGGAAGGAGGAGACAGGAAGAGGAAGAAATGCATGGATGTACATACTTGTTTATGCATGTATCATCTATGGAAGAATGCACATACACACAAACTGGCATCAAATAGCCTCTGTAGATTATTTTATACTACTTTAATTTTTAAATCCATGTGCATGTGTTACTTAATATTAAATATTACTCAACATTAAGATTTTTAAAAAATACTTATTAAAAATTAATATTTATTAAAATTTGCCACCAATAATAAATACACCATAATTTAATCAGCTCTCTGTTAAAGGGTAGTGCTTTCTAACTTTTGTTGCTGCAAACAGTTCTTTTTTTTGTTTTGTTTTTGGTGACAGTCTCGCTCTGTCACCTAGGCTCGAGTGTGTCACCTAGGCCTTGAGTGCAGTGGCACAACTCGCGCTTACTGCAGCCTCAACCTCCTGGGTTCAGGTGATCCTCCCACCTGATCACCTTTATTTAATGTTAATAAACAATATTTTATTAAAATTGGGGCCATTTAATATTTCCTTTTTTTTTTTTTTTTTTTTGAGGCGGAGTTTCGCTCTGTCGCCCAGGCTGGAGTGCAGTGGCCGGATCTCAGCTCACTGCAAGCTCCGCCTCCCGGGTTCACGCCATTCTCCTGCCTCAGCCTCCCGAGTAGCTGGGACTACAGGCGCCTGCCACCTCGCCCGGCTAGATTTTTGTATTTTTTAGTAGAGACGGGGTTTCACCGGGTTAGCCAGGATGGTCTTGATCTCCTGACCTCGTGATCCGCCCGTCTCGGCCTCCCAAAGTGCTGGGATTACAGGCTTGAGCCACCGCGCCCGGCCTTAATATTTCTTAAAACCAAATGTTATTTAACATTTATAAAAATTAAACAATTTTAAATATTAATATAAAAATATTAAAATCTTAGTTGGTTTGTGTTTTTGTTTAGTGCTGAAGCAGAACTCTGAAGCACTGATGAAGAGGTTGGCACTGGAAAGGAGGGGCAGCTCTCCCCCAGGGGCAGGAATGAGGAGGGAAGGATGAGCAAAGCTGCAGCAGTGAAAAGTGAAGGGACCAGGGGACAGGGGGCAGGGGAGCTCCAGGGTCTAGATAGCAGGCAGGAAGTCCTGTGTGACCCGAGAAGGGTTAGACTATGGGGCTTGAGAAGAGTGGCGACCCTGAGGCCCAGCTGTGCAGAGAGTGGAAGAAGAGATGCTGACTGGCACATTTAAACAGTGTAGAACAATCTGATGCCTCTGGTCAGGACAGAAAATAAAAATTTGGGGAGAAAAGAAATTAAGAACCCATCTAAGCTAAGGGACTGGCACAATAAGGATCAAAAGGTTAAGGTCAGAGAAACTGAGGGTCTGGTGAACACCACTGAAGAGACTGGGAAAGAGTCCTGGCTGGTAAGAAAAGACCTGCAGGCAGCCAGGTGCAGTGTGGCTCACATATGTAATCCCAGCACTTTGGGAGGCCGAGGTGGGCAGATCTCGAGGTCAGGAGATCGAGATCATCCTGGCTGATACGTGAAACCCCGTCTCTACAAAATATACAAAAAATTAGCCGGGCGTGGTGGCGAGCACCTGTAGTCCCAGCTACTCAGGAGGCTGAGGCAGGAGAATGGTGTGAACCCAGGAGGCGGAGGTTGCAGTGAGCCAAGATTACGCTACTGCCCTCCAGCCTGGGCAACAGAGCAAGACTCCGTCTCAAAAAAAAAAAAAAAAAAAAAAAAAAGAAAACAAAGAAAAGACCTGTAGGCTGGTGGGATCAGAGAGACTGCAAGTCCTGGAGAGCTCGGGGAGTGGAGGACCATTGTGTGCGTACAGTCAAGCCCAGGCTGATTAGCCACGGGAAATTAATTTGACAACCTAACACCTGAAAAAAAAAATGTCATTTAATAAATAACTCAATCCTTCAGTAATAACAAGATTCCTTATAAACCAGAATATTACGTCAGGAAAAACGTGCACTGAAATTAAATGATCTTTTTTGAAATGGTAAGTACTACGTATTTAGTGATTAAAAAAAAAAATTGAAAGTTGTGGCAACTCCGCATTGAGCAAAGTAATCAATACCATTTTTCCAACAGCATGTGCTCTCTTCGCGTCTCTCTGTCACATTTTGGTAATTCTCACAATATTTCAAACTTTTTCATTATTATTATATCTGTTGTGGTGATCTGTGATCAGTGACCTCTGGTGTTACTATTGTAACTGTTTTGGGGCACCACAAACTGTACCTATATAAGATGGTGACCTTAGTAGATAAATGTTGTATATGTTCTGACCAATTCACCAACTGGTCATTCCTCCATCTCTCTCCCTCTCCTCTGGCCTATTTCCTGAGACAAAACAATGTTGAAAGCAGGCCAATTACAATGGCCTCAAAGTGTCCAAGTGAAAGGAAGAGTCACACATTTCTCACTTTAAATCAAGAGCTAGAAATGGGCCAGGCACGGTGGCTCATGCCTATTTGTAATCCCAGCACTTTGGAAGGCCGAGGTGGGTGGATCCCTTGAGGTCAGAAGTTCAAGACCAGCCTGGCCAACATGGTGAAAACCCCAACTCTACTAAAAATACAAAAATTAGCTGGGCGTTTTGGTGCACGCCTGCAATCCCAGCTACTTGGGAGGCTGAGGCAAGAGAATCGCTTAAACCCGGGAGGCAGAGGTTGCAGTAAGCTGAGATTGCACCACTGTACTCCAGCCTGGGCAACGGAGTGAGACT